GTTCCATACAATAGAAACAGAAGGAACATTGCCAAATTCTTTCAATGAGGCTATAGTTACCATGATACCCAAACCACAAAAAGATATAACAAAGAAAGGGAATTACAGACCAGTCTCTCTCATGAACACTGATGCAAAAATACTCAATAAAATACTGGCAATCTGAATGCAAGATCATATATTAAAAAAATCATCCACCACTATCAAGTAAGCTTCATCTCAGAAGTGCAGGGATGGTTCTCATATGCAAATCTGTCAGTGTAATACATCATATAAATAAATTGACAGAAAAGAACCACATGATTATCTCATTAGATGCTGAAAAAATTTTTTGACAAGATATAACACCCCTTAATAATAAAGGTCTTGGAGAGATCAGGAATACAAGGAACATTCCTAAACATAATAAAAGCAATATACAGCAAGCTGACAGCCAACATTAAATTAAATGGACATAAACTCAAAGCAATTCCATAAAAATCAGGAACAAGACAAGGTTGTCCACTCTCTCCATATTTATTCAATATAGTATTTGAAGTTACTAGCTAGAGCAATAAAAACAAATGGTGATCAAGGGGATACAAATTGGAAGGGAAGAATTAGAACTTTTGCTATTTGCAGATGATATGATAGTATACATAAGTGACCTCAAAAATACTACCAGGGAACTACTACAGCAGATAAACACCTTCAGTAACATGGCTGGATTCAAGATTATGTAAAAAAAGAAAATCAGTAGCCCTCTTATATACAAATGGTAAACTGGCTGATAAAGAAATCAGAGAAACAACACCCTTTACAACAGCCACAAATAATATAAAATATCTTGGGGTAACTCTAACCAAACAAGTGAAAGTCCTGTATGAAAAGAACTTTAAGTCTTTAAAGAAAGAAACCGGAGAAGATATCAGAAAATGGAAAGATCTCCCATGCTCATGCATTGGTAGGATTAACATAGTAAAAATGGCAATCTTATCAAAAGAAATCTACAGATTCAATGCAATTACCATCAAAATTCCAACACAATTCTTCACAGACTTCAAAAGAACAATACTCAACTTCATAAGGAAAAAAAAATATCCAGGATAGCTAACGCAATCTTGTACAATAAAGGAGCTTCCAGAGGTATCATGATCTCTCACTTCAAGCAAAAACAGCATGGTATTGGCATAAAAACAAAAACCAAACACGTGGATCTATGGAATCAAATTGAAGACCCTGAGGTAAATCCATACACCTGGGAACACCTAATTTTGAAAGAGAAGCCAAAATTATACAATGGAAAAAAGAAAGCACCTTCAACAAATGGTGCTGGCATAACTGGATGTCAGCATGAAGAAGAATGCAAATAGATCTATTGCCCTGCAAAAAACTCAACTCCAAGTGGATCAAAGACCTCAACATAAATCCAGTTACACTGCGGCTGATAGAAGAGAAAGTGGGAAGTAGCCTTGATCGCATTGGCAGAGGAGACTACTTCCTGAATATAACACCAGTAGTACAGACACTGAGAGCAACAATGAATAGATGGGACCACCTGAAACAGAGATGTCTCTGTAAAGCAAAGGACACTTGTCAATAAGACAAAATGGCAGCCTACAGAATGGGAAAAGATCTTTACTAAGCCCATATCAGAGGGTGGATCTCCAAAATATATAAAGAACTCAAGAAACTAGAGACATCAAAATACCAAATTATCCAATGAAAAATGGGGTACAGATTTAAACAGAGAATTCTCAACAGAAGAATCTCAAATGGCTGAGATCTACTTAAAGAATTGTTCAACATACTTAGGCATCAGGGAGCTGCAAATCAAAATGACTGAGACACCATGATACATCTGTCAAAATGGCTAAGATAAAAACACTAGTGACAGCTTATGTTGGAGAGAATGTGGAGTAAAGGAAACACTCTTCCATTGCTGCTGGTGGGAGTGCAAACTTCTACAGCCACTTTGGAAACTGGTATAGTGGTTTATCAGAAATCTGTGAATCAATTTACAAGACCCAGCTATACTAATCTTGCGCATATATCCAAAAGATGCTCAATCATACCACAAGGGCATTTGTTCAACTATATTCACAGAGCATTATTCATAATAGCCAGAACCTGAAACAACCTAGATGCCCCTCAACTGAAGAATAGATAAAGAAAATGTAGCACATTTACAAAATGGAGTATTACTCAGCTGTAAAAAAACAATGACAGCATGAAATTTGCAGGAAAATGAATGGAACTAGAAAAAAAATCATCCTGAGTGAGGTAACCCAGACCTAGACCAAAAACAGGGTATGTACTAACTCCTAAGTGGATACTAGCTGTAAAGTAAAGGATAACCAGGTTACAATCCACAGCCCCAGAGCAGCTAGGTAACAAGGAGGACTCAAAGAAAGGTTCAAGGATTTCCTTGAGAAGAGAAAATAGAAAGAGATCTCCTGGGTAAACTGAGGGGGGTGGAGGTGCAGGAATATGAGGAATCAGGTTGGGTGTGTTGGGAGTGGGACGGATGGGGAGAATAATGAAAGAGTTATCTTGATGGGGGGCACTTTGGGATTTGGGAGAAATCTCATGCCAGGTAATCTCCCAGGAATCCATAGGATGACACCAGCTAAGACTCCTAGCAATAGTGGATAGGGTGCCTGAACTGGCCTTCTCCTGTAATCAGATTGGTGACTATCTTAATTATCATCAGAAAGCCTTTATCCAGTAACTGATGGAAGCAAATTCAGAGATCTACAGGCAAGCACTGGGCCGAGCTCCAGGACTCCTGTGGAAAAGAGAGAGGAAGGAAATTATGAGGTGTGTGTGTGTGTGTGTGTGTGTGTGTGTGTGTGTGTGTGTGTGAAGGTCATGATGGAGGAACCCACAGAGCCAGCTGACCTGGGCTCCTGGGAGCTCCTCGTATCTGGATAGGCAGCTAGGAAGCCTGCTTGGGACCAACCTAGGCCCTCTGCATGTGTGTGACAGTTGTGTAGCTTGGTCTGCTTGTGGGGTTCCTGGCAGTGGGATTAGGACCTGTCCCTGGTGCTTGAGCTGGCTTTGGGAGCCCATTCCTGATGCTGGGTTGCCTTGCCCAACCTTCATGCAGGGGCAGGAGCTTGGTCATGCCTCAATTTGATGTGCCGTGTTTTGTAGACTCTATCCCATAGAGGCCTGCCCCTTTCTGCATGGAGACAGAGGAGGAGTGGATGGGGGAAGAGTAGAAGGGAGGTGGGGATAGGGAACAGGAGGGTAGGAGGGAATGGGAAACTGGTTGGTATGTAAAATAAATGAAAAAAATTAATAAAAAAAAAGAAAAAGCAAATGAAAGCTAAAAAAGAAGCATGCAATGTACATCATACATTTACTTGAGATAGAAGGCAATTTTTTCTTTTAACCCATCAGCTTATAATAGTTTATGTAAATGATACATATATGTTATAAATATGGCCAGGAATAGTAGCTTAGGCCTTTAATCCTAGACCTCAGGAGGCAGAGGGAGATGGATCTGTGAGTTCTAGGCCAGCTATGACTACACAGTGAGACCCATATGAAGGGTTCACAACACGCCCCCACGGTTGGGCGTGTTTGCATATGCCCGGTGGACACTTCTACCTAGCCAGTTCCAGGTCAGGAAAGCCATTTCTGGGTCAGGGCGTCTCGCGTGACCAGGATCGTCTCCTGTGACCAGGATCCGTGACGTTGCATGGTTATGTAAGAGCGCACAGCTTAGCCATGTGATCTATGCACGTGGGTAGATTAGTTACGTTGACCTGTGCACGCCCAGCCTTTATAAGCCAGTGCCATATTCCCGGTTCTTTCTTCTCCACACACTTGTTTCCTACAGGCCTGAGCATTCTCCGTCCCTTTTATCTTTAATAAAACTCTTATTAGCGGATTCTGTCGTGTTTCGTGACATTTCCTTGCAGGGTAAGAGCACAGCGCCGCAACAAAACTAACACCATATATATATATATATATGGAGTAGAGTTAACAATTGTCTTTGCTCTAGGGAGACAAGTCTCTTGAATGTAATTTTTGAAGATTAATAGTGTATCATGTTAATTTATTTTTTCTCACATAGAGCCTCATAATTGTTTGAATGCTTTTATGTTGATAAAAGAATCAACTTTTAAATGTTTGAAAAAGTAAAACTGTGGTTTTAAAATTAGTAATATTTAAAACTTAGATTTTTGGTTGGAGAGATGGCATAGCTGTTAAGAGAACATACTACTTTTGCAGGGAACTCAAGATTAATTTCATAACCTATAACAGGCAGAAAAGGCTTGACTCAAAAAAAACAACACCCCCCCAAAAAAAAACAAAAAACAAAACAGACAAAAAGGTACACAGACATATCTTTCTTTAAGGTTTTTTGAGATGGGCTCTCACTATGCAGCACTAGGTGACCTAGAACACACTATGTGCTGTTTCACAAAGAATAAAGATATCAATAGAATGTAAGAGAAAACTTAGAGATACAATTAATATAGAGTCAATTTTGACTCAAAAACTCAGCATGCCTGATCTTACTGACACTCATGACTGGACCACCCTGGCATCTACATGCAAATATATTAATGACACAGAATTTACGCCCTGCACAGAATTAACTGCAGACCGGTCCTACACCTGAATGTTCAGTGCCCAGTGCAGAACTTCTAGAAGACACTAGTGTGACCAGCGCTCTGTGAGTTAACAACCTGCCTTCCACCAGCAGTAACGCAAGTGGCGCATGAGGGCGCACAGCATGCTGATGTCACAATAAGAAAATATCCAGCTACAGTACCAACATCCCTGTGTTCTGTGTAGCCACAGCCGCAGCCGCCGCATATGGAAGTTACTCAGAGGCTGCAGGACGTCGGAGTTGCAGGAACAGCAGGGAACTCAGACCTCACGGGCCGCCGCGTCCGCCGGTTCCCACAGCCCCAGTGTGGCCGCGTCCGCCGGTTCCCACAGCCCCGGGACCCACACTGGCTCCCGCACCTTCTCCCCGGGTGGAAACGGCGACCCTCGCTCACCATAGCGGATTCCGAGCTCGCCCCGCTCTCCTCACAGATCCCGGCAGCTGGTCACAGCGAAGCACGCGGAACAAGAAAGTGTCCCTCAGCCCTGGAGCCGCCGAGCCAGAAGAATTATGGACCGGAAATGCCCACCCTATTCTGACTGGGAGGCCCTGATTGGCTAATGTGTCCTGAGTGACAGGAACAGCTCCCCTAGGGACAGAGTACCGGAAGGGACACAGCACAGTGGTTCCCAGCCCTGGCTTCCACTGCAGACACAGAGCTGTCCCAGACTGGCTGAGATTGGCTTTGCTGCAAAACTTGGAACTGGACTGTAAGGTCGTCCCTGCACCTTTCCTGCAGTCAGTAGGCACTTCTTCGTCCCGGACACAGGATGTTAGGTCTCAAACCAGGGACAAAGGGCTGAGGTGCCTAATTAACATAACCAAGCAAGACGTTTTCTGCCAGATTCTCCCTGCATCCCTCAGCTCCTATCTGTTACAGGGTGTGGTCTATCATACCCCCTGAGCAGGCTATCCCTTTCCTGTGGATTGTGCAAGTGAGCTTCTCAGGGACCTTCTTTCTGGGCAGGTGAAATGATATTTTGCTCCTTTCTCATCCCTATTATCCTCCTAGGCCTGTGTCCCCAGCACCTGAAACGCTGACTACAGGAAATCCGGGCTGACTCAGTGATGGAGGCTTCCGCAGGTCCTGCAATCTCAGGAGAAAGTCCCTGAACTCAGGTGTTACCCAGTAGGGCCAGAGTAACTGTCAGGTCAGGCACCTCCAACCCTACCCGGAAGCCCTTCTAGCACCATGGCAGGCTGCAGAGTAGGGTGAGGGACCCCCACCATCCCACTCAGAGCGAGAAGTGTAGTACCTAGAACCTGTGCTGGGACCAGCTACCTACTGATTCACACCTCAACTCTGTCCAGCTTCTTGGGAGTTCAGGACTCATTTCTGGGGCACTAGTCAGGTTTGCTATGAGATTGAGAAAGGACAAAGAAAACCTGTCAGTTTCAGGGACAACCATACATCAGGCCAGCAATGGAAAACGTACTATGATTTTTACTTTTGTAAAACAAAAGGTTGATTAAAAAATGTACTAAAAATCTGCAATCTCTTAAACACCTATTCTGTAGAAAAGATCCATCTATAAATACAAAATTTTAGTCAACTAAACCCTACAGGATTGTGGCATTGTATTCCCCCAAATATTGTGCATGCTAATAAACTTGTCTGGTGTCAGAGACAGAACAGCCACAATATTAAACATAAAGGATAGGCAGTAGTAGCACACGCCTTTAATCCTAGCATTCCAGAGGCATAAATCCATGTGTTCAAGGATACAGACAGGCATGGTGACTCATCATGCCTTTAATCCCAGGGAGTGGTGGTAAAAAGCAGAAAGGTATATAAGGCGTGAGGACCAGAAACTAGAAGCATTTGGCTGATTAAGCATTTGGCTGGTTAAGCTTTCAGGCTTTGGAGCAACACAGTTCAGCTGAGATTCATTCTGGATGAGGACTCAGAGGCTTCCAGTCTGAGGAAACAGGATCAGCTGAGGATTTGGCAAGGTGAGATAGCTGTGGCTTGTTCTGTCTCTCTGATCTACCAGCATTGGCCCCAATAACTGGCCTCGGGTTTGATTTTATTAATAAGAACTTTTAAGATTCATGCTACACAGGATCAAAGTATTTTTACTTAATCACTCCATATTTACTAGAGAGACTCTTGATATTCTGACAACTAAATATACATATTTACTGCCTATTTTAATATGAGTCTTCAGATATACTTTTCTCTCAATTCTGCATCATTACTGAAAATTAGGTAAGCCAAATGAAGAAAAAAATGTTTTCACATCATGCTTCTATTGTTTCATTTTCTTTGTCAGGGTCTTACTCTGCCACCCTTCCTGGTCTTGAACCCATTATGCAGACCAGGCTAGGTTTGAGATCATAAAGATCAGTTTGCCTCTTCCGCAGAGTGCTAAGATTAAAGGGCTGCATCACCATGCCTGACTTGTATTAATTATTTCACATTTAGTCATTAAATAAACAGAAGCCAGGTGTGGCACACAACTGTCCTCTGTACTGAGCACACTGTGGCAGGAGAATCACTGAGATTTAGGCAAGGTTAAAAGAGAGACCCTATCTCAAAAGAGCAAATAGCAAAGCATGTGCAGGCTCTGCCATGCCAGTTTTGGGGACCATTAGTGTCAGACTTTGTCTTGGAGTCCTGTAGATGTAACCAACCGTCTTATAAAATAAGAAACACAGAGCTGATTCAGAGCTAAGAGCCTTACCCTTCCTGCTTCAGCCAAGAGAGCTCTCCAAAAGAGACCTACTTCCTGTGTGTTTGTCTTATATAGTCTTTCTGTTCTGCCTTCTCATTGGTTGTAAACCCAAACACATGACTGCCTCCTCACTGCCTTTCTGTAGAGACTTCCAGGTCTCCTATGGTTGGGATTGAGATTAAAGGCGTGTGTCTCCAATGCTGGCTGTATCCTTGAACATGCAGAGATCTACCTAGCTCTGCCTACCAAGTTCTGGGATTAAAGGCGTGCGCCACAACTGCCACACTCTTGCTATGGCTCTAATAGCTCTGACCCCTGGGCAACTTTATTTATTAACATACAATTAAAATCACATTTCAGTACAAATAAAATACCACCATAGAGTCCACATGGATCTATGGCACCTTGGCCTTTGCCCCACAGTCCACTGTCTACTTTTTAGCTTCTCTGTCTGGAATCTGTGACGATGCTGAAGCAGCAGCCAGCAGCGGTGGAAAAAATATGAAGAATCCTTGTCCAGCTGCTGTACTGCTGTACTGCACTGCTTTGTGGGAGAACTTTTATCCTGTGTCCTGCTTGCATACATTCCACTGAGGATTCTTTAAAGCTACTAACACTTGAATTGCATGTTCAGTCTGGCTCACTATATGATTTCAGCCACAGGTAATATACTTTCCCAAGGCCACTCATTTCTACCTCACCTTGGAAAATAGCAGGTGTAGTCACATGCTAATTTGGATTGCAGAAGTGGTTGAACAGTCATTGATAGCCCCTTGATGGATCAGAGGTTTGTAGTGGTATATTTGATCACACTGTGTACCCTGAGTTTTCATTTGTTTAACTATGTAAGATGTGTTGCATTTGATATGTTGTGGAATATTTTATTTAACTATGTAAATTGTTTTAGTATGTAGTGTTGCTGATTGACCCGGCCTGCTTATGTCACCTGATTGGGCTAATAAAAAATTAAATGGCCAGTACATATGCAGAGTAGGGATAAGTGGGGCTAGTGGGCAAAGAAAAAAGTGGGAAGAAAAAAGAGGAGCGAGCTAGCAGACATGGAGGAAGCAGGAAAGCAGAATGGACAGTATATAGATGAGGTAAGCGAGTCTTGGAGCAGCACATATATTTATAGAAATAGGTTAATTGAAGTTAGAAAAGCTAGATACAAACAAGCTTAAGCTAAGGCTGAGCTTTCATAACTAATAGTAAGTCTTCACGTCGTGCTCTGGGGGCTGGCAGTCTAAGAAAGCCTGCTACATTTGAAGCCCAATGTGTGGCCTGTATTTCCTTGTAGGGCCTGAAAAGGCTGAAAAAAGAAAACAAAAAAAAACCGATATGGCTTTCTAGTAGCCTGGTTCTTGTAGCATACAGAGTCAGAGTTCTGCCATAGGGCAAGCACTGGAGCAGCCAGAACATTAAGTTGAAATAGCCTGCTAAGAAAAATCACCTGCTGCAGCACAGCACCAAAATCTGGGGCGGTTAAATGTATCTCCCAGTTAAGTGCAGCTCTCTGGCCAGACCCACAAATAAGGCTGGCTCTCATGGACCTGAGGATAAGGCAGGTACCAGCCACCAGTGCCAGGTGCTAAGTGGAGCCTGGTCAGTTAAGGTTTGGCTCATGAGTTCAAAAAGACTACAGGCATGCAGTAAAGACAGGTCCAGATAGAAAAAAACCCCTCTAAACAGTTTATATTGGCATAAAATGTGCTTAAGTGCATGGAAAAGAACATAAAATGGGTATAGTCACTCAAAGAACAAATAAATAGCTTATAAATAATGTCAAGTCTTTAATGAGAGAGTAAAGTAATATAAAAGAAAATAGTCACATAAAGATGGGAAATACACAGGGATACTGGATCCTGTATGGTGGTGTGCTGACCTTGAATTTTTTAAATGCTGATGTGTGAACAACAGCTGCTGTGAGACACTGGATAGTAAAAGAGACTGCTGAATTAAACCAGTCTAGGTAGTTAAGGGACGTCTTAACTTTAAAATGGAATACGGGAAATGTATTGCGTTTTGGGAGAGATTATATTTTTGTTTCCACAGGAAATGAAAGACTGAGGATTCCACCAAAACTAATAGAAATCAGGTTTGATCAGGAGAGATCCCCTGAAAATATTGACCACTGACATAAAGAAATAAACCAAGAAAAAAAAACTACAAGGCAAGTGACATGTATGCTGATCCCTTTACATGGGAACAGCTCTGAAACTGTATGAGACATGATACATCTTGTTGGCTACAGAGTTTTCATAATGATTTGGTTATACAGTCCAAACTGACATAAACTTGACAGGTGCCTTCTGTCTGCTCAAACATAAAACAAAAAATCATTCATAACTGAACTGTGCACACCACACATTCCATACTTACATTAATGCAAGTATATGTGTTACCTTTCAACATTTGTGTGCTTTCAGAAAAAAAGGGCCAAACACCAATAAAGACAAGTAGCCCAGGTGGCCCACCCTCTCAGAATGCCCCTGTTACAGTTTCCTCAAAAATCTCTAGAACAACTTCAGGGCAGCTAGCTGAGGTGGTCCTACCTCACAGGTCACTCCAGCAAGATGTCAGATAAGCCCTTCACTTTCCCATTACACAGAGACTTGACAACAAATGTTAGAACTAGTTTTCCTGGGACTTGACCATTATCTCAATATTCACAGGGTCCCCTCAAGATACTGTTATCCTCAAATAGCAAGAAACAGTCTAGAGAACACAATGCCCTCATAACCAAGAGGTTGGGTAGGTGGGTTTTGGTCATTCTGTGGGATATGGATGTTTGTCATCATTTGGGGGAGGTATAGGAATATAGGTTAAAAAGAAAACCATTAATATCAAA